GGCCGGGAGCGGCCACTGCACTCCAATCTGGGCGACAGAGTGAGACTCCAACTCAAAAATTAAATAAATAAATAAATAAAATAAAATAAAAGGGCCAGACACAGTGGCTCATGCCTGTAATCCCAGCACTTTGGAAGGCTCGAGACCAGCCTGGACAACTTGGCAAGACCTCATCAGTACAATGAATCAAAAAATTAGCCAGAGCCGGGCTCAGTGGCTCAGCCGTAATCCCGCGCCTTTAGGAGGCTGAGGTGAGTGCATTGCCTGAGCCCACGGGTTCGAGACCCGCCTGGGCAGCAAGACCTCATCTCTACAATAAATCAAAAAATCAGCTGGGCGTGGTAGTGCATGCCTATAATTCTGGCTATTCGGAAGGCTGGGGCAGAAGGATCGCTGGAGCCCGGCAGGTCGAGGCTGCGGTGGCCAGGAGTGGCCACTGCACTCCAGTCTGGGCGACCGAGTGAGACTCCAACTCAAAAAAAAATAAATTATCAGACGTGGTGGTGTGCACCTGTAGTTCCAGGTACTTGGAAGGCTGAGGCAGAAGGATCGCCTGAGCTTAGCAGGTCAAGGTTGCGGTGGTTGTGAGCATGACACTGCACTCCAGCCTGGGTGACAGAGTGATACTCTGACTCAAAAAAAATAAAAAAAAGATGCACCATTATCAGCCTCTACAAGGTGCCTGGATCAGAACACTCTGACCACACACTGAGGCCCAAGCCTCCACCGGTCTCCCAGGTATCTCTCCACCTCCGTCAGTCCCCCTTTGTTACTCTGTAGTGCTCCGCACCAACACACTAAATGTCAGGGTCTTTGAGGGTGTTAACAATCTCCTTCCCTACCTAGGTTCTGAACAACTAAGTGATCATGCATTGAATAAGAGACCAAATTATCAGGGCCACCTTTTAGCTCTGCTTAGTGAAAGAGCCAGGTGGGTCTACTAACTGATCTCAGTGGCTCGTTAACACCCAGGTCAATGGTCCTGAATCAAGGTAGGCCCTCCCCACCCCTGTAACACTCTACAGCTCCCCCCAGCTTCTTTCACCTTGCAGGAACAGCTCCTCAAGGTGTAGCTGCATGAATGACCTCTGGATTGCTCACTCCCAAGGAGAAGGAGAAGCACTGAGTCAGTCTAATTGTCCCTTTCTTGTGAAGAATTTTATTAAGTGGCATATGCTCTGTTTTACTTGAAATGGATTCTGTGTCCCAAAACTGTAGGCATAGTGATTCAGTTTGGAATTGTGAAATATAGCTGCTTGGATTTCTATTCCTATTAACATTCGTTTGTTAATGATGTTTATTTTTTCGTTTGTATTGTTAATGGAGTTTATTGCGGCCGGACATAGTGGTTCAGGCCTGTAATCTTAGCACTTTGAGAGGCTGAGGCAAGAGGATTATTACCTAACTCAGGAGTTCAAGCCCAGCCTAGGCAACACGGCAAAACCTCATCTCTGCAAAAAATAAAAATAAAATAAATTAGCAGTGTGATGATACATGCATAATCCCAGCGACTTGGAAGGCTGAGGCAGAAGGATCACCTGAGCCCAACAGGTCGAGGCTGAGGTGACCAAGATCATACCGCTGCACTCCAGCCTGGGTACCAGAGTGAGACTCCAACTAAAAAAACAAATAGTGTTTATGGAGATGTTTTGTTCGAATGAAACACGGCTTTGAGCTCTTTGGATATGATTTATTAGAAGCATAACATATATACACTGTAAAAGAAAGAATGTGACTTTCTCTTCTCCCTACCACTTGCTCCTCTTCCTCCTTTTATATGTTCCTTGTAATTAACACCACCAATGTTTGTGTAATTATCTAGACTCAGATTCCGTTCATCTTCAGCTTCATCCACTCCTAAATTCTGCCCTCTGTTTCTAGAAAGTTATTAAATCCTAAGAATATCTCAGTAATTGCTTCTTAGTTCTGGCCTTTCTCTTATCTGATCACTAATTGGTGGGGCTATAACTGACTATAACTGATATGGTTTTTTGTTTTTTTGGCCTACTTCTTTTCAGCTCTTTTAGTTATTCTTTGATCTTCTGAGTCGAGTTGTGTTTTTTTGTTTGTTTTAGTAGTAGTCTCCCTCTGTTTCTCTTTTACTCAGGCTGGAGTGCAGTGACACTCTCATGGCCACTGCAGCCTTGGCCTGCTGGACTCAGACAATCCTTTTGCTTCAGCCTTCCAAGTAATTGGAACTATAGATGTGCACTACCACACCCAGCTAATTTTTTTATTTATTGTAGAGACAAGGTCTTACCAAGTTACCCAGGCTGGTCTCATACCCCTGGACTCAGGCAATCCTCTCATCTTCATCTTGCAAAGTGCTGGGATTACAGGCGTGAGCCACCATGCCCATAAGACACAATTACTACCCTAGTTTCTACTCTTTGTCATGAGGGTTGCAGATGTATAAACATCATTTTAATATAAATGTAGTGACCCACAGTGTTACATATAGAACAGTAGTGTTGCACGTTGTTGCCACAGAGCAGATTATAGACTATAATGGCGGTGCAAAGGAAAAACTGAGGAGCCATGCTGGATAACGTCATAGAGAGACTTTGAACTGCATCTTGAGGGATGAATTCAGGGATTTACCAAGGAGTGGAGAAGGAGTGGGGTGTTGGGGACAATGGGAAGTGCAAATGCAGAAGCATGTGGTATCCCAGGATCCACCACAGCATGTGATAGCCGGAGTTTAAGCTGGACAGTAGGGGATGACGAGGAGGAAGGAGGCGGACTATGAGTCCCTGAGGGCATTAGAGGGCATCGAGAGATTTGGACTTCATCTCATAGGCCACAGACAGGCACTAAAGGGTTTGCAACTGAGACGGGAAGGTTATAGGACAAATTTGTATTTTGTAAGGATTAATCTGGCAACCATTTGGAGGACAAATGCAAGGAAGATGAATCCAGGGGTGAGGGCGACCTTATCTTGCTGACAAATGGTAACAGGCCTGAAACAAGTAGTAGTGACTCTGGCAGTCTATAGGAAGGAGTGTACCCCGGAGAGCCAAAGACCTGAGGTGGGGCAGAAGGAAAAAGGATTCTCGATGACAAGACTTCAAGCTGGTATTCTGGTGGTGCCATTAGTGAGAATAGCAGATAGGATAAGAGTTCAGATTTCGGGAAAAGATAGTTTGTTTTGGGTGGGTTGTGTCTGTAGGACCTATAGGTGGAGATGACTGGTGAATAATTAGCTATGTAACCCTGCAGTGCAGGTAAGCAGGTTCGAGATGCAGAATTGGGAAATAAGCCAGAGTGTGTTCTGCCTTGTCCCCTCCCTTCTTCCCCTTCAGTCTTCTACCCACTTGGTAGCCAACCTGTACTTCAGTCAAATTTCCTACCATGTCCTGCCACTTGCGTCAATCTTCAGTTAAAACACACTACCTAGAAATTATATCTCCATTTTGTTTGTATTTTTCAGTCTAAAATGATGTACATAGCGCAGAAACAGTCTCCCAAAGAGTTTGGTTAAAGTTCCTAGTACCACCAGGCACAGTGGTTCACACCTGTAATTCCAGCCCTTTAGGAGGGGGAGGTGAGAGGATTGCCTGAGTTCAGGGGTTCGAGACCAGCCTGGGCAACATGATAAGACCTCATCTCCACAATAAATCAAAAAATGAGCCAGGTATGGTGGCACATGCCTACAGTTCCAGCTACCTGGAAGGCTGAGGCAGAAGTATCACCTGGGCCCAACATGTCAAGGCTGTGGCCATGAGCATGCCACTGTACTCCAGCCTGGGTGACACAATGAGAAACCAACTCAAAAAAAAAAAAAATTCCTAGTGCCAGCTCTTCCTGCAGATGGTCTTTTCAGGTGAACTGAGGACATTAGATGATAATTGTAGCAGCTGAGTATGCACAGTTTTCCTCCTCAAGCCAGCTATTTTTCGTCATTGAATTTCTGGATACACCTAAAGTTCAATAATAATTTTTTTAAAAATTGTTTTTTTTGAGTTGGAGTCTCACTCTGTCGCCCAGACTGGAGTGCAGTGGCCGCTCCCAGCCACCGCAGCCTCGACCTGCTGGGCTCCGGCGATCCTTCCACCTCAGCCTTCCAATAGCTGGAACTCCAGGCATGCGCTACCACACCCGGCTAATTTTTTGATTTATTGTAGAGATGAGGTCTTGCCAAGTTGCCCAGGCGGGTCTCAAACCCGCGGGCTCAGGCAATCCACTCACCTCAGCCTCCCAAAGCGTGGGATTACAGGCTGAGCCACCAAGCCCAGCTTTTTTTTTAATTTTTTTGAGTTGAAGTCTCACTCTGTCACCCAGGCTGGAGTGTAGTGGCCCGCTCATGACCACTGCAGCCTTGACCTGCTGGGCTCCAGGCAGTCCTTCTGCCTCAGCCTTCCAAGTAGCTGGTACTATAGATTTTTGATTTATTGTGAAGATGAGGTCTCGCCAAGTTGCCCAGGCTGTTCTGGAACCCATGGGCTCAGGCATTCCTCTCACCTTAACCTCCCAAGTGCTGGGATTGCAGGCTTGAGCCCCTCGCCTGGCTTCTTTATTGTAGAGACAAGGTCTCACCAAATTGTGAAGGCTGGTCTCGAACCCATGGGCTCAGGCAGTCCTCTCCCCTCCACCTTCCAAAGTGCTGGGATAACAGGTGTGAGCCACTGGGCCCGCCACATAATAAATTTTAGTAAAACCAAATAGTATTATGTCTTCTAAAGCATCTCTTAACTGTATTTCAGATGTGGAGGTTCCACATGGTTCTCGAAACAGTGAACCCTTTCGGTTTCAACCACCATTGCCCCCTGGCACGCCGCCTCCACTCCCGCAGGGAACGCCTCCGCCCATCTTTACTCCTCCGCTCCCCAAGGGCACCCCGCCACTGACTCCCAGTGACTCACCTCAGACCAGAACAGTGTCTGCAGCTATGGACGAGGACGCGCTGACTCTAGAAGAACTTGAAGAGCAGCAGAGGCGGATCTGGGCGGCTCTCGAGCAGACTGAGAGCATCAACAGTGATTCTGATATTCCTGTGGACACACCCTTAACTGGGAATTCTGTGGCCTCATCACCTTGTCAAAATGAGGTGGACCTCCCCCTCCCAGAGGGGAAAATGTCTGAAAAGCAGGTGCTGGGTGAGCCTGAGGTACCAGACACTCTTATAGAAAAATCAGAAGTTGAACATTCCTCAAGTCCCGATTCTGAGGCAACGTTGCTTTGTGAGAAGGAAAGGGAAGCATCTGCTCAAGGAGACGCTGAGGGCACCCCTCTTGATAATGGCCATGTCGCGTCGAACTGTGGTGTCAGAAATGGAGGCAGCCAGAAGCTCTTACAGGTGGACACCAGTCCTTTAGTGGCCACTAAGGTGCATAGCCCCATTCCTGACATGAGCAAATTTGCAACCGGAATAACACCATTTGAATTTGAGAATATGGCAGAATCTACTGGAATGTACCTCAGGATAAGAAACTTGTTAAAGAACTCACCCCGAAACCAGCAGAAAAATAAAAAGGCTTCTGAATAACAGCTGGCATAGCCTCAGGAGCTGTTTAATAACCTATAACTCTGTGTTCTGTTCATTAGTACTAACTAAGTGGACAGATAAATTGTTTTCCTGTTTGTCTCTCCCATGTCTAAAAATCTGTCCAAGGTTTGTGTTCTAAAGTCAAGCCTATTTTAAAGAATGGAAGGACTGGGCTCACTAGTGTACTATATTTTATTCCCACAACCATTTGGGTGGGAAGTGTGAGTATGCGCTAGTTTAGAGGTAGTTTGTTAAGGTTTATACTGTTTTTGGATTGTGTCTGTTAAGAGTGATGGTTTTTAATCTGTCTTTTGTACATTACTTTCCCTTTCTACATTTTGCTAATTATCCTGTATATAAGTTTAATATATCACTTTTTAAAAGAAAAAATTCTAACCATTTTAAATTCATATTTCAACTTGGACAACCAAATGAGAAAAATCAGGGATGAGCAGCTTTACCCCATTTGGGGTATTTTTGTAAGTGATTTACATGCATCGATTTTAGTAATACTTTTACTTTTTTGTACCTTCATTCTTCAGCTAAGCTTGCTATACAGGTATGTTCATCTTTGTGTACAGAGGTTTAATAAATTAGTTTTCATATATATAATCTAAGACTTTGAATACGAAAAAGTGATTCACAGGTAAGTTAGTGTATATGCCCTTTTAAAATTAAAAATTAATTATGGACTGTGCTCAGTGGCTCAGTCTGTAATCCCAGCACTTTGAAAGGCCGAGGCAAGTAGATTGCCTGAGCCCTTGGGTTCAAGACCAACCCAGGCAGCTTGGTAAGACCTTGTCTCTACAACAAATACAAAATTAGCCAAGCATAGTATCGCGTGCCTATAGCTCCAGCTACTTGAAAGGCTGAGGTGGAAGGATCGCCTGAGCCCAGAAGGTCGACGCTGGGGTGGCCATGAGTGTGCCATTGCACTCCAGCCTGGGCAACAGAGTAAGACTCCCAACTCAAAAAAAGAAAAGAAAAGAAAAAGAAAATTAATTATGTGGTAGCAAAGGAAACATAAGAATTTCAAGTTTGGGTGCTTCCAGCAGATTTCAGCCTGAAATACAGAAACGACAGGATCTTTCTTTTTTCTTTTTTCTTTTTTTTTTTTGAGTCAGAGTCTCACTCTGTCACCCAGGCTGGAGTGCGGTGGCACACTCGTGGCCGCCGCAGCCTCGACCTGCTGGGCTCAGGCAATCCTTCTGCCTCAGGCTTCCAAGTAGCTGGAACTACAGGTGTGCACCACCACACCTGGCTAATTTAAAGTAATTAGCTTGAAAAAGTGGATGGAATACAGCTAGCCTTTGTATAAAAATTATTTTCTAGATTGGAACCTTAAGATGACAGTTAAAAACCGGGCTCGGTGGCTCAGCCTGTAATCCCAGCACTTTGGGAGGCTGAGGTGAGTGAATTGCCTGAGCCCGCGGGTTCGAGACCCGCCTGGGCAACTTGGCGAGATCTCATCTCTACAATAAATCAAAAATTAGCCGGGCGTGGTAGCGTGAGCCTGTGGTTCCAGTTACTTGGAAGGCTGAAGTGGAAGGATCGGCGGAGCCCAGCAGGTCGAGGCTGTGGTGGCTGGGAGCAGCCACTGTACTCCAGTCTGGGCGACAGAGTGAAACTCCAACTCAAAAAAAGAGATGACAGTTAAAAATTTAAAAGTAGACTTAAACAAATTGCTTTAATTGTCAGATATGTATAAGAGAAGGCTGAAACTGGTTTTTGTATTTATGTGAGATGCTGTTACATCTTTATACTTAGTAAAGTTCATGAAAGTAAACGTTTAGGTCATCTTGAATTTAGTCTCAGGTAGTGTAATCCTGCTCTCAGGCCAACAGAGGGAGCAAAGTAGAATCACTCCAGATTTAGTTTTCATTTTTGATAAATTGAGTAATCAGATTTACTTTTCTATAAATAATAAAGGGAAGGAAAATTACATAAAAGGAGGAAAATTATTTTTTAGCGCCGTTGGAATGTGCTACAAATAGAATAAAATGTCAAATATGTTCAGCTTGTTTTCCTGAGTTTAAATTTATAATAAAAGTAATCCTTTATAGTGGTTTACACAGTACTTTTACATACATTATCTTCCCCAATATTTCTATCAGGCAAATAATTATTCATACATGGAAGTAAGGAAAGGGAGGCAGAGGGAGGTTGAGAGACTTGCCAGCATTCAAGAAGTGGTTCTTGAGAGGCCAGTCTTCAGCTCAAAACCTAGTTCCTAAATCATAGCAGGTGTTGTTTAAATGCCCCTTTAAACGTTGTGTTAGAGTCATCAGTGAATACCAGAGATATCGTAACACTTGTGCAGATGCTAGATACCATGTAAAGGCATTTTGATGTATTACCCCTTTTCCACATAGGAGGTAGATGTTGTTCACTTCATTGTTTAGAGGAAATGCCTGAGACACACAGTGGGTAAGTAGCCTAGTAACCCTAAATCCAGATGCCTCAGGCCCCGTATTCCATGCTCTTCACCACTGTACTGCCTCCCTGTCAAAAGCTCTATAAAAGCACTGATTTCTAAAAATAATTGTCTCCTATTTCTTCATTGGTTCAATTACTTATTGAGGGCATGCTCGTGTTAAGTGTTCAGTAAGCTTTTGGGCATTAAAATAAGTAACACTAGGCAGGGCGCAGTGGCTCACCTGTAATCCCAGCACTTTGGGAGACCAAAGCGGGAGGATTTATTTAGCCCAAGAGTTTGGGGCCAGCCTAGGCAACATAGTGAGACCAAATTTTAAAAATTAGCTGTGTGTGGTGGTGCATGCCTGCTGTCCCAGGTTCTGGGGAGGCTGAAGTGAAAGGATCACCCAAGCACAGGAGGTCTGAGTCTGCAGTGAACCATGACCCTGATCGTGCCACTGCATTCCATCCTGGGCGACAGAGTGAGACCTTGACTCAAAAGAGAAATCTGGAATGGTAGAAAAATACTTTTGGGGGAGGTTGACGTTTTACCCTGTTGTCCAGGCTGGAGTGCAGTGGCACACTCACGGCCACTACAGCCTCAGCCCTCCAAGAAGCTGGAACTACAGGCATGTGCCACCACGCCCAGCTAATTTTTTGATTTCTTGTAGAGATGAGGTCTCGTCATGTTGCTCAGGCGGTCTTGAATCCCTGGGCTCAGGCCATCCTCTCGTCTCTTCCTTCCAAATGCAAAAAAATATTTTCAAATTAAGAGTCACGTATTCATTGATGCTAAGCACTCTGGATTGTTTTTTTGCTGTAGGGTTTGGGTTTTATTAGGGGAAAGGATCAACTGAAGGTGGAAAGTGTCCTCATTTGAGGGATATTTTAAGATAAATCCTAAACAGAATTTTTAACAAATTGAAAAGGGTTTATAGAAGAGAGCACATAAAAGTGGGAAGTATTTACCTTGATGGGATGCCCCATTTTAGAAAGTTACTCTGCTGTGTTTGAGTATTACATTGAGAATGTTGGGTGGAGGAATCGAGTATTGTTTGAACTTGTCTATGCTGTGACAGGTTTCCAGGTGTGAGTAGGTGAGGTAATAACCAAACACTTGTACTTCCAGGTGGACTTGGAGAAGGGGCGGGTTCTCTTTGTAATCTTTGCCTTGGGTTAAAAGGAATGTGAATTGTAATACAGGTTGCTAAAACAAGGCCAGCTATCTGGGTGTGGTGGCTCATGACTATAATCCCAGCACTTGTGAGGCAGAGGTGAGAGGATTGCCTGAGCTCATGGGTTCGAGACCAGCCTGAGCAACATGGCGAGACCTTGTCTCTACAATAAATTAAAAAATCAGCTGGGCATGGTAGCACATGCCTGTGGTTCCAGCTTCTGAGAAAGCTGAGACAGTTGCCAGAGCCAAGCAGGTTGAGACTTTGGTGACCGTGAGCATGCCACTACACTCCAGCCTGGGGGACAGAAGGGGGAGAAGGCCAGCTGTGCTGTGGCTCCTTGAGCAGGTAAATGGAAAGAAGCCATTGCCCTTAGTAAACTACAAAAAAACGACTTAATGCTGTTTTCAAAAGGTTGCGTTTCCTTATGTTAAAATATTTTCTACTTTCTGTTGACATGAGGCTTCCACCTAATAGATTTTATTTTTCATATTCTCTGCTGGAATCATTTTGCTCTTCTGTCTTGGTATTTTGTAGATTATCATTAGCAGGTAAAACCATAAGGGTGTCATAACAATTTTTAGTTACTTGTAAGCCATGACTTAGTTCCCAAGAACCCAATGTGTCTTCACATGCCTGGGTTTTTCTTCAGGACTTAGGGGGAAAAAATTTTTCAACTTAAATTCATTTGATTTAATGGTATACATTCATTCAAAATGTTTAGGATTAAATTACAGTATTCTGTTAAAGGAAAATTTTTTTTTTAATGCTTCTTAATTACAGAGCCATTTCCATATTCTTAGTAAATGAGAAGTCTCTGAACAAGGCGTGTTTTGTAAATCACCAGCAGTCTAGCTAGAATGTTTATGTTGGAATGGAGGAGAAAGAGATAGCTATCTTAAAAAAAAAAAAAAAAAAAAGAAAATACATTTTATTTCCATATTGGTCTCCTGAAGAAATGATGTTGCTTGATGGGGTGGGGGATGGAGTGATTTTGTATGGTCAGATTAAGCTGAAAGACCACCCTGTCCACATTTGGATTTTGAATTTGTGGATCTTATCATTGAGAAAACATCCTCTGTAAAATTCATATCCCTTGCACTTCTATTAACTGACAATGTTGTTTTACCTCATGAATTTAAAAAATATATACATATATTAGCTGACATTAAATGTCTATACAGTAAATCCAACTCGTAGTACATTTTCATTTCAAATCAAACCGAGTGAGCATGCTGGCTCATTACATGTAATCCCAGCACTTGGGGAGGCCAAGGTAGGAGGCTCTCTTGAGGCCGGGAGTTTGAGACCAGCCTGGGCAAAATAGCAAGACCAAAAAAATTAATTAATTTTTTTTTTGAGAAGCTGAGGTGAGTGGATTGCCTGAGCCCGCGGGTTCGAGACCCGCCTAGGCAACTTGGCAAAAGCTCATCTTGACGATAAATAAAAAATCAGCCAGTCGTGGTAGCGCGTGCCTGTAGTTCCAGCTCCTTGGAAGGCTGAGGCGGAAGGATCGCCGGAGCCCAGCAGGTCGAGGCTGCTGGTCTGGGCGACAGAGTGAGACTCCAACTCAAAAAAAAAAAAGATAAAGTTAAAAAAATTAAAAGGGCCCAGTGTGGTGGTTCATGCCTATAATCCCAGCATTTTGGGATACTGAGGCAGGAAGAATCACTTGAGTCCAGGAGTTCAAGACCAGCCTGGGCAAATAGCAAAACCTCATCTCTACAAAAAAATCAAAAAATTAACCAGGTGTAACGGAGCAGGCCTGTAGTCTCTGTTATTCTGTATGCTAAGGTGGGAGGATTGCCTGAGCCCAGGAGGTCGAGGCTACTGTGAACTGTGATCATCATGAATCGTGCCACTACATTCCAGCCTGGGTGACAGGGAAAGACCCGACTCAAAGAAAAAAAAAAAAGAAGGAAGGCTGATCTCAAACCCTGAGGTCAAAAATATAAAAAATTTAAAAAAGGTTTATATGTATAAGTGTATGTTCTAACAAAGGTGAGATTATACTATACTTTCCATAC